ACACACACACACGCACACACAAAACATTAATGGAGTTTTATGAAATTATTGCATGTGTAACCAACGTGGTTAGTGATTTCCGTTCTTTGTAAAGTAGCTCAGTTTCTTTTATGGAGCTGTGGCTAGAGGCCTTGAATTTATTGTCAAGCATATGCTACTCTAGCTACATGATTTCATAATTTTGTTCCCTGCACTTAATTATCTTTTTTGGGTTTCTCATGGATTTTATGTGTCCAAAATCCATTCAAATAACTATCTATTTATTTTTCAACAACAATTTGTCCCTTTTCAGGTTCCCCTATTCCAAGAGAATGCATTATCACTGATTGTTCATCTGTTGAGCTCAAGGCTCTATATTTTGGCCTTTCTAATGATTAACCTTTTAACTTTCTAGCAGTGAACCCGCATCATTGCCAAACCAGCAACCGAAGAAGAGAAGACGGAAAGACATGGCAAAGGGTCCTGGTGACAATGTAGATGGACCTAATCCTAGTGAACATGTGAAGATAGGGAATAAGGGTAAAAAAGCAGCATCAATGATGGAAAGGAACTCAACTAGTGAGTCGCACAAAGTACCAGTACCAAATGTACGAAGTGAAGATGTTCAATTTCAGGACCTGACAAATGCTGCTGAAGTTTCAATAAAGAAGAAAACTGCAGATACTAAAACTGCATCTGGTCCTTCAGAACTGTCAAATGGTGATGGTATCAGTCAGGAAAAGTATATTGATCAGCAGAGAACTGGAGTTGTCTCATCAAAGAACCATGGTAACAAATCAAAGGAGGGTTATGAACTTCTAGATACTTCAACTCAGATGTCAAATGATAAAAGTCTGTATTCTAGCAAAACTCTATCTGGAATGCCAGTGAACAGCAGTGATGAGGTAAGTCAATCCATTCAAAGGAAAGAAAAAGGTGGAGTTCTTGAAAATCCTGACCTTAATGGCCCTGCAAGTGGGAGTTCCTTGCAAACGGTGGTGAGTAGTATTGTGCTTGCTGTACTTTAGCAATGTTTTCTCGTGAACAAAATCAAGTAATTTTGATTTTGCTGCATTCTTACACTGTTGTTTATGACCCAAAATATAAATCAAAGCATTTATTGCAATTCATAATTTATGATAATCTTGTGCATGTTGTCAGTGGTAGACTTGCTTCCATCTTTACTGCCCTGCATTATCTTGAATATTACTGCAGATTCCTTGTTATGCAGAAAATTATGAAGTTTTCAACATTTCACTTTAGATACCTATTTGTTTCATTCTCAATTCACTAATCTACTAATTAATAAGGCCTTGCTATGTCATGTTCTGTAGAAGGCTCCAGTTCCTCAGAGGAAAGAAGGATCTACTGTTAGACCAAAAAGCACAATGCTGGACAAGGCTATCAGGGAGTTAGAGAAGACAGTTGCTGAATGTATTTAACTATTTCTCTTACCGGTGTAATTTTCATTCTTGATATAATGTGAATTTCATAGTAATTAATTCTCTCTCATTTTTTTTTTTGGTTCGGAAAATATCAGCTAGACCACCATCTTTGGAAGTTCAGGATGCTGATAATCCATCTCAGGCAGTAAAGAGGAGATTAACACCTGAAATAAAACAGAAGCTGGCTAAAGTTGCTAGATTAGCGGTACCAGAGAGCGATTACTAGTCTTATTCACTCATCTTTGTCTTTATGTTTAATAAATCGGTTTGTGTCCATATATTTATGTTATATTTCTAGAGAATTTAAATTTGTTTTGGGCTGGCTGCAGCAGGCAAGCCATGGAAAAATATCAAAGGATGTGACTAACCGTTTAATGAGCATTGTTGGACACTTGATGCAACTTAGGACATTAAAGGTATCTTTTTCTTTTAGACGAAGAACCATCATATGAATAATTACTGTGTTTTGTTTTGCCTGCTCTCTCTGCTGCTCATGCATTCCTCTCTTGGGTCTCTGTTTGTATATGTATGATGTATCCTGCATTTTAATTGCGACTGCTTCATACGTCTATTTGAATGAACAATTTTTCTCTCTTGAAGTCAACAAGTCAGACGTTGGATTAGTCAACTTTCTGTCG